TGACAGCATCTCCTTCTCCAGCTCGTCCATGTCGCCTTTGCGCTTCTTGTACTGCTTCTGGGCGTTCTGCAGGGACTTCTTGGCCGTCTCCAGCTTCTTGATCTTGTGAGAGGTGTTCTCCTTGGCCTTGATGTACTGCGGCCGCTTCTGGTTCAACTCGGAGTCCTTCTCCCTGGGGAAGGGGGGGCACCATGGGTTCCAGATCCCCACCCCGCTCTAGGATCCTAGGACCTCCAACTTGGACAGCCCACCTGCTCCATTCTAGATTACAGTGCTGCTAAAGTGCATGTCTATGCTGTTCTAGACACCCCAACCTAGACAGTGTCAACTTGATTATGCTAAATCACATTTCTAGATCATACATAATGTTCTAGAACACCCAACCTAGACCATCCTACCCAACCAGGATCACCTGATATGCTCTAGTTCAATGTTTCTGGAGTCTGTATCCATCCTGTTCTAAGCCACCCAACCTAGACAGCATCACCTGGTCTATTCTACACTCCGTTTTCCAAGAGATTACCAGAGTGGCATTCCAGGCCATGCAATGCAGACAATGTCATCAGCTTGATTCTAGAGTGTACCTCCGAACTGATGCAGACTACCCAATCTAGACAGTGTTACCTTCCACATTATATATTACCTTGTTCTAGAGCATATGCCCATACTGTTTCAGGTCACCCAATTTATAGTTTACCCACATTCCTGCACCATCACCTCCTGTTCTAGATCAGCCATGATTCTGGAGGGGACCGTGACCACCCTCATTCTCGAACAAGCCCCATTACACACTGTTCCACCACCAGACCCATTCCAAAGAAACTTCCATATACCACACCCACTCTAGACCGTACTAATGTTGAGCTAGTCTGACCCATCCTCCTCGATCAACAACCCCTTATTCTAGACAATGCAATGTTTTAGACTACACTACTGAGATCAGAATCACCACTCTACTAAATTTCATCATCTCATTCCAGCCCAGGCCACATTCTAAACCCAACTCCATTCTAGAACGTAATGCTACCTTGCTGGCTTCAGCCAACCTTACTCAAACCATACTGCTGCCCCACACTTTGGTTCAAGACCTAACTCAGTTCTAGATCACCCTTCCATACCAGCCTTCTTAAAGACTATACAGTCACACTCAGCTCTAGACCCAATTCCCTTTAGACTGCACCCAAGATGCCCAAGACTGTATCAGTATTTCCTCATTCTAGATTGGGCTCCTTACTAGACCGCACACTTCCCTGTCTAGCCCACAGCAGCTCTATCCCCGCCCCTGTTCTAGTGCACCACAATGGTTCTAGAGTACAGCCCATACATACTCATGTTCTGCCATCTTGCTCCCATTCTAGAGTAAGACCCTGCCTGGACTGTCATGTCCCATTCTAAAGCAAAGCCTCTGTCTCTTCTAGTGCAACCCATAATTTTACAGCGCAGCTGTCCCCTGTCTAGTGCAACCCCAGGTTCTAGAGTGCAGCACATACCCACTCGTGCTCTAGAACAAGACCCAGCTGCAGTGTCCCCCATCCCATCCAAATGTGCAGTCCTTCCCCTAGACCTAGAAGAGGAAGGGCCATTCTAGAGCTCACAAGATCTAGAGCCCTTCTCCTGTTCTAGAGTGCACAGTGATGTGATCTAGAAACTTTAGTCTTGTTCTGCAGTGCACTAGTCGAGAATGTGTTCATTCTCCAGTTCTAGGTCATAACAGCACCCTCTGCCTCCGGTGTCTCCCAGCCCCACTCTGGATCTCGGTCCCCTCCCGTTCTAGCCCCCAAGTTTTACCGCGCGCTGCCCTCACTTGATCTCCTTCTCGATCTGCTGCTGCTCCCTCATCATCTTGCCCAGCTCCTTCTTCTTGTCCTTGAGCTCATCCTCCACCTTGTCCATGCGCTTCTTGTCCTTGTCGATCTCCTTGTTCTTGGAGCCCAGCTCCTTGTTGAGCTTCTCGATCTCGGCCTCGTTGTGGTACAGCTTGAAGAGCTGCAGCTGGACCTGGGCCCGCACCACCTCGTCCTTCAGGCGCTGGTACCGGTCCGCCTGCCCAAGGGGTGTGTGTGTGGAGTAAACACCGGGTCGGGGGAGATTCCCACCCCACCACCTCCCCCCTCTTCTGCCCTGGCCCCTCGGAAACCTCGCCCCACTGCCTCCTCCTCCTGCCCCCCAACCACTCCCTCCTACTGCCAGCAGATACCTCCGACCCAGGCCAGTCAAGGGACCCCACTCCACCCTCTATCCCCACCCTCATATCCTGCCCCACTGCCCCAGCTATTACAGATCCTGCTCCACCCTTTCCTGACCCCCGAAATCCCATCTCCACCATTCCTCCTTCTCCGTCCACTGACGGATCCCCTCCAGCCCCAACCTCCACCTAAAGATCCCACCTCCCCCTCCTCCTGCTGCCCCTGCCCTTCTAGATCCCCTCCCTACCGCCCCCTTCCTTCCCCCCAACCCCAGCCCCACCTTCTTCCTGTGGGCCCAGCCTCATCCACCTGCCTCACCGGCCCATCACCCACTAGAGCTCCCCACAGGCTGCAGAGGCTGTGCCCAGCCCCCTACTCCCCCCTGCCCTCCAAATCCCACCCAGATACCCCGGCCATTAGAACCCCCTCACAACCCCCACTCCCACCTACCTCCTCAAGTCCCATCCAGCCCTCAAGCGCCCATCCACTAGAACCCCCCTGCCCTCCATCCAACACCTCCCAAAGCCCAGCCACCCCCGAAAACACCTCACGACCCCTAGACACCCCACCCCACCTACCCCCACTGACTATCTCCTCCTGCCTGCCATACCCCCAGAGATTTCACCCCACCTCTTTCTTCCCTGCCCCCCGGGCCACTCTGCCCCCACCTCCTCCTTCTCCTGCTTGGCCTCCTTGCGCTCAGCCGCGATATTCTTCTTGCGGTGGTAGTTGAACTGCGTGTCCTCCTCGGCCTTCACCATCTCCTTCTTGCGCTTGTCGTATTCCTGGGCCAGCTCCCCCGAGCGGCTGATCTCCTCGAACAGCGCTGTGCGCTCCTTAGGGTTCTTCATGGCGATCGACTCCACCGCCCCCTGCGGAGAGCGGGCCAGGGCCAGGTCAGGCCCCCAGAGCCAGCCAGCCCCATCTCCATCCTCCTCCAGCCCCCTGCCCACGCCTGGATGGACCCACGAGTCAGGCACGCCCCACCCTCACCTGGAAGACGAGGAAGTTCCTGGCTTTGATGAGGATCCCCAGCTTCTCCAGCTCCTCGCTGTATTCGCTCAGCTGCACCACTTTGTTATTGATCTTGTATTCCGACGAGCCCCCTGCAAGGGATGGTGGGGTCAGTCCCGGCAGCGCCCGGGGCGAGCCCCCCGCAGCCCAGCCCCCGCCCTGCTGCCCCCCGGCGCTCACCCACGATGACGCGGGCGAAGGTGCGGTCCTCGGCCCCGTCCTCGGAGTACACCATGCTGACGAAGGCCCGGTTGGCGGCCGGCTTGCCCACGGGCGCCCCGTGGATCAGGTCCCGCAGCGTCTTCACCCGCAGGTTGCTCGTCTTCTCGCCCAGCACGAAGCTGATGGCATCCATAAGGTTCGACTTGCCTGGGAGAGGGGGGGGGAATCAGCGCCATGGGACTGGCGGCGGGAGGGGGAGATCGGCACCATGGGGCTGGGGGAATGGGGGGCGGGAGGGGGAGATCGGCACCATGGGGCTGGGGGAATGGGGTACGGGGGGGAGGATCAGCGCCATGGGGCTGGGGGAATGGGGGGCGGGGAGATCAGCACCATGGGGCCGGCGGCGGGAGCAGGAGATTGGCGCCGTGGGACTGGGGGAATGGGGGGCGGGGGGGGAGGATCAGCGCCCTGGGGCTGGCGGCGGGAGGGGGAGGAGATCAGCGCCATGGGGCTGGGGGAATGGGGGGCGGAGGAATGCACCATCCCTCCCCTCCATGGACAGCACCATCCTGCCTCTAGCCCTGGAGCAAGGGGGAGGGGGTCTCCCTGGACTGTACCATTCCTCACTGGGGAGTCCCATGGCCTGTACTATGGACATGGGGGCCATGGACTGCACCATCCCACCTCATACGCGGGGGTGGGAAGAGTTCCAGGGATTGAAGCTTCCCCCGCCGTGGGCAGCAGGGGGGTTCCTGCAGGCCATGCCACACCCCCCACCGTGGGGAGGGGGGTCCCGCGGGCTGTGCTACCTCCCATAAAGAGGGGGTTCCGTGGACTGTACCACACACCCCGTGGGGAGGGGGCTTCCGTGGGGAGGGGGTTCCCTGCGGAGGGGGGTTCCGAGAGCCGTACCACCCCAGGGGGAGGGGGTTCCCTGCGGAGGGGGTTCCGAGAGCCGTACCACCCCGGTGGAGAGGGGGGTTCCGTGGGACATACCACCCCCTCGTGGGGCGGGGGGAGCCGCGGACCGTACCACGCCCGGGCGCGGGGGGGCTGTCTCTTACCGGAGCCGTTGGGCCCGATGATGGCCGTGAATCTCCGGAAGGGCCCGATGATTTGCCGCCCCTTGTAAGACTTGAAGTTCTCGATCTCGATCAGCTTCAGGAACCCCATGGCTGGGGGGCCCTGGGGAGGGAGGGCTACGGAGGCCCGCGGCGGACACGGGGCCCGCGAGCGGTCGGGCGGGAATCGCGGCTCCCGGCTCGGCCACAGACACCCCCCCTCCCGGAGCCGCCAACCGAGCAAATCTCGCGAGAGGCGCCACACTTCCCGCGAGACAGACCCAGCCCTCCGCGAGGGGAGGGGCTAAGGTGGGCTCATTTGCATATCGCGCGCGGCTCCTTTCAGTGAAAGGGGCCGCGATTCAGAACGAGATTTGCGTCGCGGGACCCGCCCCCTCCCTCGGCTCTCAGCGTCCCGGCCCCTTGCGTAATTTGCATATATGGACACGCCCATTGCGTCTTCTCCATGCTGATAGGGCCGCGCCTCAGAGCGTGATTTGCATATAGGGACCGCTCTCTGCGCTCTCTCCCCGCTGATAGGCCCGACGCCTTCATTTGCATAAAGGGGCGGTTGGACGCCACCAAGTGGGGGCGGGGAAAAGGGAATGGGCTGTCCCGTTACCAGGGAGACCAGGCTTTAAACACAGACAGAGAGAGAGACGGGTGGGGGGCTCAGGTGAGTGGGGGCCCGGCAGTCGGGGGGTGAAGGGCCAGGGACCGAGGTCAAAGGGCAGGGTGAGGGGTCAGAGGTCAAAGGGCAGGGTGAGGGGTCAGAGGTCGAAGGTCAGTGCAAGGGGGTCAGGGGGTTACATGGTGCAGGGAGAGGGGTCAAAGGTCAGGGTGAGGGGGTCAAGGGTTAAAGGGTACAGCGAGGGTGTCAGCTATTAATGGGAGGAGGGTCAAAGGTTAACAGGGTGGGTGCGGGGACCCCAGATTTAACCCCTCTCCTGCCGGCGCGGAAAGGTCCCCCCCCCCGATCTTTCACAGCTCCACAGGAAACAATGCCCTGCTCCCCTCCATGGGGAGCCCGGACTCCTGGGTTCTCTCACCAACTCTGGGAGAGGAGTGGGAGCTAGGGGGGGGGGAGGGCTGGGAGCCAGGACTCCTGGGTTCTAACTTTCCTTCCTCCCACATAGGCGCCAAGATGCACAAAGTGGACCTACCGCTGGAGAGCAAGGAGGCGGCTGCCCTCGAGGCGCGGAGGGAGCGAGAGAAGCAGCGGCAGAGCCGCATCTTCAACGCACGCCACCGCACCATGGGGGTGAGCCCCGCAGGGACCCGCTGCGTCCTCCAGGGGGCGCAAAGCTGGGACAGGTGCTGACTCTGAGCCCTACCCCTAACCGGAGCCTGGAGCAGGAGCAACGGCTGACCTGCGGGGAGGGCTCTCACGTACACAGCTCCCATGTGCCACCCTCCAAGGGGCATTCGGTGCCCATCACCTGCTCAGGGCTTGGCCGCACCCGTCCAGTTATCAGGGAGCCTTGACAAAGTTGGGCACCATCTGCTGTGGAACAAGTCGAGACCCAGCTCCTAATTTCACTCAGAGGCCACCTATCAGACACCAGACTGGAGTGAATGGTTTTGATTGCAGGCCTGGGTTCTGTCCCCGGCACTAGGAAGGGAGTGGGGGCTGGTGGTTAGAGCAGGGACTGGGAGCCAGGACTCCTGGGTTCTCTCCCCGGCTCTGGGAGGGGAGTGGGGTCTAGTGATTGGGTGGGGGGAGAGTCAGGACTCCTGGTTTCTTTCCCCAACTCTGGGAGGATTTTTGCCTCCTCAGTAGCTCTCCCCTGCCCTTCTTTCCCCCCTCCACCCTGCCAGGTGGACGTGGAAGCCCTGAGGAGTCAAGTGGAGGAGCGGAAGCTGAGAGAGGAAACAGAGAAACGCCGGGATGAGTCCTATGGTGAGAGCTCTGGCCAGCCCTGCCTTGTCCACCCCTTTGATCTCTGGGGGAGGTGCCCTGAACCCTAGCATCAGAAAGCAACAGGGGGCCAGGCCAGTGAGATGGCAGGACAACGGGGGTCCTCTATCTCTGACCAAGATGAGGGCTGGCTGTGGAGGGAGATCCCCGCTACTCCAGCCCTGGCCTCTCCAGCAGGGGGCGCCGTAGGGGTTGGGTCAGGACGACTGGCTGCTGGGAGGAGCTCCTGGCCTCTCCAGGAAGGGGCACTGTGGGGAGCTAGGCAGGAGCGCTGGCTGGTGGGGGAACAGGGGATCTGACCCTCTCTCCCCACAGACGCCGAGCGGGTGCTGTGCGACCGGGTGGCGCAGATGCTGGAGGAGGAGGAACGTCAGCGGGTGCGGCGCCTCCACCAGGCCGTGCAGGAGTTCCGGGAGCGGGAGCAGCCACCCCCCACCCGGCGGGAGTGGGACCTGTACAACCCCGAGGGGCTGCGCCGGGACCAGCCGGCCCGGGTCAGCGACTACGACCCCCGCTGCGGTCCCGCCAGCCTGCAGCGCTTCGCCGGCGAGGACCTGGCGCTGCCCACCCGCCGTCGGCTGCAGCAGGAGCAGCAGTGCCGCAGCCTAGAGGACCAGCGTGCCGACCAGCAGCGGGCCCTGGCCAACGCCAAGTATGCAGGTGAGAGCGTGGGCACAGGTCTAGTGGTTAGAGCGGGGGGAGTGGGGAGGCTGGGATCCAGGACCCCAGGGTTCTGGAGTCTAGTGATTTAGAGCAGGGGGGGGGGCTGGGAGGCAGGACTCCTGGGTTCCTTCTCTTCGCCAGCCTGGGAGAGGAGTGGGGGCTCGTGGTTAGTGCGGAAAAAGCGGGGAGCCAGGACTCCTGGGTTCTCTGGGAAGGGAATGGGGTCTAGTGCGGGTTAGAGTGAGGAGAGCTGGGAGCCAGGACTCCTGGGTTCTCTAGGAGGGGAGTGGGGACTAGTGCAGGTTAGAGTGGGGGGAGCTGGGAGCCAGGACTCCTGGGTTCTCTGGGAGGGGAGTGGGGTCTCGTGTGTTAGATCGGGGGGGAGGAAGGACTCCTGGGTTCTCTGGGAGGGGAGTGGGGTCTCGTGTGTTAGATCGGGGAGAGGAAGGACTCCTGGGTTCTCTGGGAGAGGAGTGGGGTCTCGTGTGTTAGATCGGGGAGAGGAAGGACTCCTGGGTTCTCTGGGAGAGGAGTGGGGTCTCGTGTGTTAGATCGGGGGGAGGAAGGACTCCTGGGTTCTCTGGGAGGGGAGTGGGGTCTCGTGTGTTAGATCGGGGGGAGCCAGGACTCCTGGGTTCCCAGAGGAAAACCACTCAGGGCGCCGTGCGCTGTCCTGACAGACACGCTGGAGGATAAGAAGCGAGTGGAGCTGGATCTGCGGGCACAGCAGCTGGCCCAGCTGGAGGAGGAGTGCCGCCGCGCCAAGGACCTCGCCACGGCCGACTACAACCGGGCCCAGGTAACCGCGTAGCCACCAACAGGGAGCTGGGGGTGGGGGCCGTGGGCTGGCAGACCTTGGCATGGGTTGGACAATAGGGCTGGCTCCTCTTCCCCAGGGGATTGTGGGTGACCAGGTCTCACCTGCTCCCTTGCCCGGGTGGGCCGTCAGGGCAAGTCCCCCCGCCTGGGGCTCAGTGCCAGGTCTCCCCTCGCCCCGCAGGCGGTAGAGGCGGCGGAGCAGCACCGGCTGGCGTGTCAGCGGGAACAGGACGACAACCAAGCCGAGATCCACAACCACCTGACGGGGCAGCTGCTGACAGAGGACCCAGCCGTGGCCGAGAGCCCGCTGGGCCCGCACCGGATCCTCACCGACCGCTGGAAGGGCATGAGCCCCACGCAAGTGGAGGCCGTGTGGAAGGCGCAGGAGGAGCAGCGGCAGGAGAACCAGGTCTCCGGAGGAAGGGAGGGGAGGGATTCCGGCAGCGGGGGGCGGGGGACGCGCAGCCCAGGGCACTATTCCCTCCCCCCGTCACCTGCCCCGCGCTTTGCCCCCCCAGAGGCTGCGGGAGGCAGAGCGGCAGCGGGAGGCTGAGTGGGAGATGCAGCGGCAGCGGGCAGCCCGTGCGGCCATGGTGCTGGAGGAGGAGGAGCGCCAGGCCCGGCTGCAGCTGAGGAAAGGCCTGGATGCCTACAACCAGCAGCTGGCGCAGGAGCAGAGGGCACAGTGAGTGCCCCCCGGGGGTGGGGAGCTGTGAGGAGCAGGGCCGGTGTGGGTGCAGGAAGGAAGGTGCGGAAGCAGGAGGGGGTGAGGTTGGGCAGGGCTGGGGCTTTATGGGGGCGGGGCTGGGAGGTAGAGGATACAGAAGGGGTGGGGCCAGGTGAGTCCGGCTGGCCGCTAAGCCCCGCCCTTTGTCTTGCAGGCAACAGTACCTGCAGAGGGAGGTGTACACCAATCCGCCCAGCGCCCAGTACCACCTGCAGTTCAATACCAGCAGCCGCTAGGCCCAGCCCCGGGGCACCGACTCCGAAACCCCCATGGACCGCCCCCTGCCCTGCCGGGACATGCCCAATCCCCACCCTTATCACTACCCCTGCCCCACCCAATCCCTGCCCTCCCAGGACACGCCCAATCCCCACCCCCTGCCCCAATCATTACCCTCACCCCACCAGCACACACCCAATTCCCACCCCCCCGCCCCGCCTGGACACACCCAGTACCCGCCCCCTGCCCCACAATGACACGCCCGAGGGTCTCCCCTCCTATGGCCAGGACGCCCCCACTCCCCCCTTGCTGGGGGGGATCTGACACTCGGCCCTGTTCTTTCAGCCACAACGGCATCCAATAAACTGTCGTGCCCCACAGCAGGCTGCCCCCATGGTCTGTAGGGCCGGGTAGCACTGGGAGCTCCCCACTGCAGGAGAGTGCCCCGAGGGGGGCTGAGTGGTTACAGCAGGCGGCTGGGTGCCAGGACTCCTGGGTTCTCTCCCCGGCTCTGGGAGGAGAGTGGGGGCTCAGGGCTAGCACAGAATCCCAGCACCCCGAGAGCACATCGAGAATCGTTTATTAAGGTCCAGATGCCGACTGGGGCAGGAGTCGTCATTGTGCGGGGGCCGAATCACTGCAGGAGTCCATGATTAGAGTCCAAGGACGGCAGAACCCCAGAAGGGGGGAATCAACCCCCCATCCAGGGGCGGCCGGGGCAGGGGAAATCAGCGCCCCCCCAGGCGTGGGGCAGCGGCTCAGGGCTGCAGGCGGATGGCCCCGTCCAGGCGGATCACCTCCCCATTCAGCATGGGGTTCTCCACGATGCACTGGACCAGGTGGGCGTATTCCCCGGGCAGCCCCAGGCGACTGGGGAAGGGCACCTGGCGAGCCAGGAACGTCCGCACCTTCTCGGGGAGCCCTGCCAACAGGGGGGTGGCGAACAGACCTGGGGGAGAGAGACAGTGAGGGGGGGGCCTGGCTCCCCGCTCCCCTCCCAGCTCTGCCGGTGCCCCTCGATCCCCACCCGCAGCCCCCGCCAGCTCTGCCGGTGCCCCTCAATCCCCACCCGCAGCCCCCCCCCCGATACCTCCCCAGCTCTGCCAGTGCCCCTCAACCCCCCCCTCCTCTCTCCGCCCTGGGCTCCACACACCATGACAGGAGCTACGCTGGGGTTGGTACCTGGGGCGATGGTGACGACACGGATCCCCATAGGGGCCAGATCCCTGGCGATAGGCAGGGTCATGCCCACGATGCCCCCTTTAGAGGCCGAGTACGCAGCTTGACCCACCTATACAACAAGCAGACATTAGCTGGGGCACAGGGACGTGGGGGACTGCCAGGGGAGAACACCCCCTGCCCAGCCCCCGCAGCACAGCGCCCCCCAGTGCCCGGCCCTGCCTGCCAGGGGAGAACACCCCCTGCCCAGCCCCCGCAGCACAGGGCCCCCCAGTGCCCGGCCCTGCCTGCCAGGGGAGAGCGCCCCCTGCCCAGCCCCCGCAGCACAGCGCCTCCTAGTGCTCACCTGGCCCTCGAAAGCAGCCACGCTGGCTGTGTTGACGATCACTCCTCGGTGCCCATCAGAGTCAGGGTCATTCCTGCCCATCTCACCAGCACTCAGTCGGATCACGTTAAAGGTGCCGGCAATATTGACCTGGGGGGCAGGGGAGACAGATCAGATCAGATCAAACCAGTGGGCCCACCCGGCCCCATATCCCACCCCCCAAAAATCAGACCCATTGGCTCATCCAGCCCATTATCCCTCCTTGGTCCCCTCTCACCACCATGGCGTTGGCAGGGCAAAGGGGATCAGGGAAGGGAATGGAGGGAGGGGGTCCCTCCAGCCCCACTCACGTTGAGGACCCTCTGGAAATCCTCCAGGCTATGGGGCATGTCCTTCTTGGCGTTGTAGGTCTTGACGGCCACGGCAATTCCGGCGCAGTTCACAGCCAAATCCAAGCGCCCGAACTTCTCCCGCACCAGGGCCAGGACCCCCTTCACGTCCGCCTCCGACGTCACCTGAGCCGCCGGGCAGGGAGGAGAGGTTAACCCATATCACCTCCGCGCCAAACCCCACTCCCCTCCCAGAGTCGGTGATAGAATCCAGACATCCTGGCTCCCAGCCCCCCTCGACACACTAGTCCCAACTCCCCTCCCAGATCCCGGAATAGAACCCAGGAGTCCGGGCCCTACATCAGCTGGTGCAAAGACGCATTGTTCCCCCAGCGCTTTGGCCACACTGGGCCCATCCGAAGTCGGCAGGTCCACGATCACAGCGCTGGCTCCTTGCTGCACCAGGCGCTCAGCGGTGGCGCGACCCAGGCCGGAGGCCCCACCAGTGACCAGGCCAACCATCCCCTGGGGGCAAAAGCAGAGGGAGGGGGCAATGAATAATAATAATAAAAAAAAAACACAATACCACCCGTAGCTTTAATGGGTTCTCCCAGACCCCCTATCTCACGTGCATAATGGACTGTTCCTACACCTCTGACCATAGTGGTCTCTCCCATTCCCCCCCATCTCATGTGCATAATGGTCTTTCCCTACACCTCCCTCCTTGCCTGTGCATAATGGTCTCACCCACAACCCCCTCCTAAAGTGGTCTCTGCCTACCGCTCTCATGAGCGTAATGGTCTCACCCAAGATGCCCTATGTGTATTATAGTCTCTTCCTAACCTCCCCCAGGAATATAATGGTCTCTCCCAACACAGCCCCCTCCTCCTGCTATTTGCATAGTTGTCCCTCCCTGCCCTGCCTCCTCCCAGGGCACAGAATGGTCCTTTACTTCAATTCTCCCCCCCCCCCAATCAAATGGTCTCCCCCTCTTCTCAGGCTTATCATGATATAGTCCAGCATCGCTCTCCCTGTGTATAAGTCTATCCTAGCCAGTCTCCCCCACCCTATTGTGTATAATAGTCTCGCCCAATAACCACCCCTCTTGTTTGATGGTCTCTTCTATCCCAATCCCCCCCCCATTGTATAGAATGGTCTCTGCCTCCCACGAGGGTACAAGATCTCCAGCCACCACTATTGGTAGAGAACAAGTGTAAAATAGTTTCTCCCATCCCAGTTGCCCCCCCCCCTTCTGCAGAATGGTCTCTCTCAGACACACCATCCCAGTGGTTTCAGAGGTGTCTCCGGCCGACAATATGGGGGGGGAGCTGCTTAATGATCTCACCCATCCTGTGGTACCTCCCGCATAGAATGGTCTCACCCTGCCCCCTCGTTATGCCGCGCTGGTCCCCGCCCGGCTCCCGTAGCTGGCCCTGCTGGTTACCTTCACGCTCCTCAACGTCGCCGCCATCTTGCTGCCCCTCCACGCTCCGCCCCCTTACACAGGGGCGGGCCAATCAGAGGCAAGGCCACTCTTAAGGGGGAGGCAGACACTCTTTAATAATCTGGGGCTATTAATCCCCAGGAGGGGGGGCTCTTAAAGGAGAGGGTGCAGGGAGATCTTAAAGGGAAAGAGCGAGGCCAAACCAAAGGTAGGGAGGGAAAAACTGAACATAGTCCTTAAAGGGGAGGGAGGGGTGAACGGGGCAGGGGGAGCCAGGACTCCTGGGTTCTCTCCCCGGCTCTGGGAGGGGAGTGGGGGCTGGTGGGTTAGAGCAGGGGGCTGGGAGCCAGGACTCCTGGGTTCTCTCCCAGCCTGGGGTGGAGTGGGGGCTGGTGGTTAGAGCAGGGGGGCTGGGAGCCAGGACTCCTGGGTTCTCTCCCAGCCTGGGGTGGAGTGGGGGCTGGTGGTTAGAGCAGGGGGGCTGGGAGCCAGAACTCCTGGGTTCTCTCCCCGGCTCTGGGAGGGGAGTGGGGTCTGGTGGTTAGAGCAGGGGGAGCTGAGAGCCAGAACTCCTGGGTTCTCTCCCCGGCTCTGGGAGGGGAGTGGGGTCTGGTGGTTAGAGCAGGGGGGGCTGGGAGCCCGGACTCCTGGGTTCTCTCCCCAGCTCTGGGAGGGGAGTGGGGGCTGGTGGGTTAGACCAAGGGGGGCTGGGAGCCCGGACTCCTGGGTTCTCTCCCTGGCTCTGGGAAGGGGTGAATAGGTTGTTTGTCCTTTTATAGCTTTCCACAGCACCCCCCACCCTCACCCACACACACAACGGGGGGGGGGGGAACTATCACAGTTTATTTACACTTTTTTGATACCATTTGCTTTACAAAGTGCCCGTGAGCAAAGGACTGTCACAGGCCCAGCAGCCATCTTGGAAGCCGGGGGGGGGGGGGGGGGGCGGGTCCTGCCAGGTCTCCTGCTGAGCCCCCCTCTGCAGACAGTACTTGCCCATGACGCCCTCCTATCCCGCAATCTCCCACAGCCAAAGGGGCAGGGGGGGCTCCCCTTTCATCCCTGCCCCTAATCCTGCTGGCTCTGGAACACTGCTCCAGAAATGATGGGTTCTGGGGTCACCCACACACAGCAGGGGCCAGGGTTGCTCTAGAACCCAGCCCGGGCGCTCCAGAAGCAGCTTGACTTGCTCCAGAGCTCACAGGCGACATCATGCTGGAAATCACTCACTGTTCTAGAATCGACTCCCATCTCTACCGTAAACACCCCCCCCCCACTCTAGAACAGTCTGGTTTGGGTCTAGGACCCAGGGGCCTCCCTCCAGTTCACACTGTAAACCTTGCTCTCAAACCCCATGGTTCTAGCTCCCAGGCCCACATCTACGCTGGCTCTAGAGCCCATTAGGCTCCAGAACCCACTTTACAGGGTCACTGGATCCAGTTTGAACCCCACCCTAGAACCTTGCTCTAGAACCCACTGTGCATACTCTGTGTCCCACATCAAAGCTCACTCCAGAACCTACACTGAGGCTTCCTTGAGACCCCAAAACCACGTGTGCTCCAAAACACATTGGCCTGGCTCTAGAGCCCATTTAAAAACCATCCCCAAACTCATCATCTCTGCTCCTGAACCCAGCTTTCATCTCACTCTAGTCGAAGCCTCACTCTAGAGCCCAAGCCTGGTCACGTTCTAGATCTTGCTGCTCCTGCTCCAGAACCCATTGAATCACTACTCTGGAACCCACAGAAGTTGTTCTAGAACTCAGTCCCAGCCATGGCGGCCACGTTCCCCCTCTGCCGGACTCCATCCACGTCCTGCCACTCCCCAGAGAGGACGTGCCCTCATCCCAAGTCCAGCAGAATGGGGGGAGGGGGGAAGGGGGCTCAGTCGTCCTCGGTGCCCCCCACGTAGTGGCAGACAGCGTCGTAGTCCAGCGCCAGGACGTCCCCATCCTCATCGCGCTGCAGTTGCACCAGCGCCCGGCTCCGCTGCTGGTCGCGCTGCAGGATCCGGCCCACCTGGGGAGGGGAGGGGGGACAGGAAGCTCCTGTGAGTCCTGCGTGGAGGGGGGGGGCAGTCTGCAAAGGATTCTGGGAAGAAGGGCGGCTGCGTACAGACTCCCGCAAGAGGGAGGGCTCAGCTGGTAACTTGGGGGGCAGATGAGGGAGCTTCTCCAGCATAATCCCCTTCACCCAGGATCCCCCTTATATCCCCCCCTCATTACCCCTGGATTCCCCCGCCCCCGCAGCACTAACCCCCAGCTACCCTGCCCCCTACCCTCTGTGTATCTTCCCCCCAGCTCCCGCGCATCCTCGGAATCCATCCCCCACCCCTTCAGATTCCCCCCACTCCCTCCAACCCCCCATATGTTCTTCCCCCAGCCCCCCAGAACCCCTCGGCTTCCCCACCCCCATGTGTCCTCCTCCCACCCCTTCAGATCCTCCCCCCTCACTTCCTGCAGCTCCCAGCCTCCCCATTACCCCCTGCGGTCCCTGCCAGGGAGGGGGTTTGGGGGTCGCTCACCCTGCCAGCATGCTCCCCCAGCACCACCAGCACCCAGTCCGCGGTGCCCCTGGGGATGACCGTCTCCAGCATGGCCTCCCGGATGCCTGGGGGGTTGAGGAGGAGATGGGTCAGCGCCATACAGTGGGTCCCCCCCACACGATCCCTGGCCCCCAACAACCCACCCCACAGACACCCCTCCGGCCGCTCCAACACCCCCGCTCCCCAATGACCTGGGGTCACCCCTCCCCCACTGTAGTCAGCTCGCTTCCCACACAAACCCCCTTACCTCATGGTCATCAGACCCTCCTGGCAAGTGCCCCCACCCCAGATACACCCTCGAGGTCACCCACCCCATGGATCCCTCTACAGATCCCTCGCCCCCCCCCTCAACCCCACAAAACACAAAGTGGCTCCTCTAGCATCCCCAATAATCTGGGGTCATCCTGCCCCCCACAACCCTCTCCCCAGAGTCACATGCCCCATATCAGGACATACTCCCCCATAACCTCCTCCAGGGAATCAACCCCCTTCTGCTGGGGTATGACAAAGGGGTGCCCCCCCCCCGCAACTTACCATCCAAGACCTGCCCCTCCTCCGTCCGGCAGACACACGTATCTGGGCTCAGCACGTCCTCAATCAGCATCTAGGGAGAGAGAGAGGGGGGTGGAATGGGGCATGGGGCCTATCCCCTCTAGTGGGCGCCGGTCCCACCTGGGCCCAGGGCAGGCACTGGCTGGCTCAGGGGGACGAGGAATGGGGCAGGGGCCTGTCCCCTCTAGGGGGCGCTGGGAATGGGGCAGGGACCTGTCCCCTCTAGGGGGCGCCGGCTCCCACCCGGCCCCAGGGCAGGGACTGGCTGGCTCGGAGGGGTGGGGAATGGGGCAGGGGCCTGTCCCCTCTAGGGGGCGCCGGGAATGGGGCAGGGACCTGTCCCCTCTAGGGGGCGCCGGCTCCCACCCGGCCCCAGGGCGGGGACTGGCTGGCTCGGGGGGATGGGGAATGGGATGCTGGTTCCCATCCGGCCCCAGGGGGTGGGGGGAGGTACCTTGGTATTATAGTATTTTCCCCCCTTGTAGAGCTTGTCCACGAAGCGAACCCGCAGATCTCGCCGCAGCCAGTGGGGGGAGCGGGAGGACGAGGAGCTGCTGCTGCTGCTGCCTTTAGTCTGCTTCCCGGCGCGGGCGTCGCTGCGGGAGAACGGGCAGTCAGGGGCAGTCCTGGCGCTAGGGGGCGCCACGCTGTGAGGAATGGGTCAGGCAGGGCCTGGCGTTGGGGTGCACCGTGCGGCGGGGTGCTGTGTTTTATCGAGCTGCCCCGGCCTCAGGGCAGGAACCCTGGCATCCGGGCTGCACTACAGATCGGGGGAGTCCATTTTGCCTTTCTAAAAATTCCTCTGGGGTTTGAACCAGAGACAAGAATCAGCCGCACTTCCTGCCCTCAACAGCAGCACCAGCTGTCACCCGCCCTAGAGGTGGCTGCATCTCAGCCCCGGGCGAGCCATCCCCATGCGGCGTTATGTGCGGCTGTTCACCAGCTGCCCCACCCCAGACATGGCTGCATCTCAGCATGGGCGAGCCATCCCCGTGCGGCGTTATATGCGGCTGTTCCCCAGCTGCCCCACCCCAGACATGGCTGCATCTCAGCCCCGGGCGAGCCATCCCCGTGCGGCGTTATGTGTGGCTGTTCCCCAACTGCCCCACCCCAGAGGTGGCCGCCTCTCAGCGCCAGGCGAGCCATCCTAGTTCTCTACCTCTCTGAGTCTGCTGGCTGTTTCCTCTTTCTGTCCTTCTCTTCCCCCTTCTCTCGGGGGACCCTGGCGTCCGGGGTGTCGGTGGGTCCATTTCTCTGCTTCTCTTCTTTTTCCTTGTGGGCTTTGCTTAAGCGGCCTGAGAAGGGGATTGGGGAGACAAACGGGGGTGAGGATGGCGGGGGGGGCTAGGGTGAGGCGGGGGTACTGAGGGAAGTCATGTGACTCACTCAGATCCTTGGCTAGTTTCTCATACTCCTTCCGGGTCACAGGTCGCAGGCTGTGCTGGCTGATGGTGACGATCTTATCCCCGATGGCCAGTTTCACCATCACCCGGGCGTTATCGGGGTCTACACCTTCGATCTGGGGGCCGGGAGAGAAATAGATGAGACTGGGGGATCGAGGCCTGATCCCTCTGGGGGGCGCCAGCTCCCATTCGGCCCCAGGGCAGGGACTGGCTGGCTCGAGGGGGG